CATAAAATTTCCTTCTGATTAGCTCTATTCGCTTTATCTTCAGCATCAAAAGCTTTATCACATAACTGAGCTAGATGTTGTGAGGCCTCATCAATGCTAGAATTGTCACCAGAAGTAACTTTTCCAGGACATGATGTCTCGGGAATTTCGGTCGTATGATATTCTTCTATTGATGGTTCTTGTGAAGACAACTCAGGGGTAAATAATTCTTGCTTAAGCTTGCCCACACTTTTCTTGCACTTTGAATTTGTTTCGCTACATATTTTGCCTTCTGGAGGTAATTTACTACCATCTGAATTAGCCGATACTTCGGATGATGTGTTATTGCGTGACTGAGCATCCAAGTTGAGGTCTTGAGGCCTTTCCTCTTCAGGAAGTGTTGTAAGTGATTCTTGATCCCGAATTTTCTTTTTTCCGATGCTCTGAATTATCTCTTTGTTAACTCTCTCCTTATATACTGAATCATGAAAGTCGTCCATCTCCCTGTCCTCTGATGATTTGTCATGGTAATGACGTTGCTCTGCAACAGTCTCTGTGCGAATAGGTGATGCGAGATATCGGGATGGGGACTCATGACATATATCAGGATTTGAAATATTGTCGGATATATCAGATGCCGAAACATTAGCGTGAGATAACCTCCGGCTACTGGGTTCAGATGCGATAGCAACCTCACTCCGTGAGTCAGAATTTTCCATTTTGTTGGAGGTGCTATTAGATACAGAGTATCCTGCTTCGCAGACTGAAGATTGATCAATTACCTTGGTATTATCACCCAATTTAGTGATAGAGTTGCCAGGTTGCGATTGCTTCTGTTCCAATTTCGCAACCCTAGCTTTAAGTTCGGCGTTTTCAGAAGCGGTATCTTTATCGTTCTGCTCCAGTTTTATAAATCTGGATTCATGTTCTTCCAAAGCTTGTTTTAATTTTACGTTCTCAGCTTTAAGTTCATTGTTCTCGGCCTCAACTTCGGAAAATTTTTTTCTAAGTTCGGGAATTTCGGCATTCTCCTTTCTAAGATTAGTAATCTCGGCTAAGAGCTTCGAATTTAGTTCTTTCAAAGAATCAATCTTAGATGAATCTTTAGATTCGCCCCTTTGGGCCTGTGTGTTTGCCATTTTTTAAATAAAATATAGATAAGTTCAAAAGTGAATTTAAAAAATTATCATGTAATAACACCATATAAAAATTAATTATCGAAAAAAGACCATTTAGGCCTGATTGCTTTATTGATACAATATAAAAAATACATGTGAAGCGGGGGACTATCTACCCCTATTTCTTAGTAATTTTTTTGATTCGAGCTCTTTTACTAGCAGGAGAGTTATCGACTGTTACTCGATCCTTCAACAACTCAACAATAACACTTAATACCCGTTTCACCCCTTTTCGAATTGATTCAAGATCATCCTCGAGAGCCGTTTTGGAAAGATTAATTCGATATTCGCTTTTACTGGTACAATATAGACCGTCGGTGGTAAAGGCGATGAAGTGCCATTCTGTAGCTGAAAAAAATAAAATTATAAATTAGATGCGATATAGTCAAAAATTCTATTGCGGGATTCATACCTGTAGAAACTATCCCATAGAGATAATCGTAATCATCGTCCTTGAATGCTTCATCTGCTGTACGCTTCTTCTTGTTTGTATGGTACGCACTTTCTAGTTGCATAATATTTTGAAGATAACCAATTTCGACATTTCGAGGCTTTCCTTCGGCTATACACATAAGATCCTCGTTTCCTTTTATCGCGAAATCAACACGGCCAGATGCCTCCTCACCGGAAACACTTTTTTGATATGCGATATAGATTTTTTCTTCTTTGGTAAGTCGTCGAACGATGTCCAGAGATGCGTTTAATATCGACGTAATAAATACACAACGCGTAGCCTCATTGGTACTATCTTGCATTGTTTCCAGATTCGAAAGTCTCAATGTAATTTCATTCATACACTGCTCAAGCGCTTTATCATCGTCATCGATTTCCTTGAAAACTATACAATGGAAAAAATAGATTAGCATATAACATATGTTCGATCATTTTTGCCAAGAAATTTGCGGGACATTATGTCTCGGAAAAATGCCAAGAAAAAATAAAATAAAGTACCACATACCCGG